TGATGTCTCTGCTTTTTAAAATGCTGTCTAGGTTTGTCATTGCTTTCCTCCCAAGAAGCAGGTGTCTTTTAATTTTGTGGCTGCTGTCACCATCTGCAGTGATCATGGAGCCCAAGAAAGTAAAATCTGTCACTGCCTCCATATCTTCCCCTTCTATTTGCCAGGAGGTGATGGGAACAGTTGATGTTGAGTTTCAAACCATTTTTTGCACTCTCCTCTTTCACCCTCATTAAGGTTCTTTAATTTCTCCTCACTTTCTGCCATCAGAGTGGCATCATCTGCATATCTGAAGTTATTTCTTCCGACAATCTTAATTCCAGTTTGGGATTCATCCAGTCCTGCCTTTCACATGATGTATTCTGCATATAAGTTAAATAAGTAGAGAGACAATATACTGTACATCCTTGTCGTACTCCTTTCCCAATTTTGAACCAATCAGTTGTTCCATATCCAGTTCTAACTGTTGCTTCCCGTCCCACATATAGATTTCTCAGGAGATAGATAAGGTGGTCCGGGACTAACATTTCTTTAAGAACCTGCCATAGTTTGCTGTGGCCCACACAGTCAAAGGCTTTTGCATAGTCAATGAAGCAGAAGTAGATGTTTTTCTGGAACTCTCTGGCTTTCTCCACAATCCAGCACATGTTAGCAATTTGGTCTCAAGGTCCTCTGCCCCTTCAAAATCCAGCTTGTACTTCTGGGAGTTCTCGGTCCACATACTGCCAAAGCCTACCTTGTAGGATTTTAAGCATAACTTTATTAGTATGTGAAATGGGTGCAATTGTATGGTAGTTGGAGCATTCTTTGGCACTGCCCTGGGATTGGGATGTAGACTGATCTTTTCTAATCCTCTGGCCACTGCTGAGTTTTCCATACTTGCTGGCATATTGAGTGTAGCACCTTAATAGCATCATCTTTTAAGACCTTAAAGAGTTCAACTGGAATGCCATCACCTCCATTGGCCTTGTTGTTAGCCGACATTAGCAATGCTGAAAGTTCAACAAGGAAATATATTATCCAATTGGGATAAAATTAAAAGAAGATTAAAACAATATGCTAAATAACTATACACAAGAAATGAAAGGAAGACAACAAATTCCCTTAAAGAAGATTCCTTTGATGAACAACTCGGAATCTTAGAAAGCAAAGTAAAAGCTTTACTCGAAGAAAATGGAACAAATAAATCCCCAGAAGCAGATGAGATTCCCATAGAGTTGTGTCAAGCTACAGAGACTAAATCTATCCTAACAAGGATACACCAACAAATATGACACAAAACGATGAGATACTAGAAATGTTCAGTATGGATTCTGGTCCCAAAGAAAGGAGAAACCAAAGAATGAAGGAAGTATAGGACCACTGCATTAATTTCCAATGAAAGCAAAGAAAATTAAAATTTAAAAACAAATACTTTTGTTATATATGAAACGAGGAATGTCAGATATTCAAGCTAGATTCAGAAAAGGAAGAGGCACTAGGGATAGTGCAAATATATGTTGGCAACTGAAGTATACCAAATAATTTAATTTTTATTTATTTATTTTATTCTATTTATATCCCGCCTATCTGGTCAATTAAGAAAACTTTTAAGAAAAAAAGATATACTAAAACGAATAGGCTTGCCACAATAGGCATTTTCCTGATGCTCAACATATACTTTCTACAAGAAACTGCCATTAGAACACAATATGGAAAAACAAAATGGTTTCCAATTGGCAAGGTGCCAAAGAAGGGTATGTTTTATTGTTCAGTCAATTTGATCTGTATGGAGCCAGTATGTGTTCATCCAGAATAGGCCTGAGTTTTGGAAGGGCAGCTGCGAAAGAACTAAGGGGGAAAGACCTCAAATGAAAGGATATGTCAAGAGAAACTAGGTCACGGTCATCTATACATACTGTGTTATTCCAGATTGCTTTGTATGGATGTGACTTGTAAAGAAAGATAAGAAAAAAAATCAGATCATTCAAAATGTTACTACCTCTTGTATTCAGTGTGCTTTATTTTTATGATGATTTATTGGAAGGTAAATATGGACTTAATTTGTAAAACAGATTACTGAGGCATGTTATTTCTGTGAAAGTCAGGAGAACTTGAGTGCGCCATATCTTCCTGAGGAAAGAATCGTCAGAGAGGAAGGGACCTGCATTAAGAAAACCACCAGACAAGAGGGAGTTAAGACAGAAGTATGCCTAAATGAAGAGGGGAACAAAAGGGAGGAGGAGCAATGGGTGGAGGTGTGGGAAGAAGATATAAAGAGGGAAGAAAAAGCAGGGGAGTTTCAGGTTACAACGGATAGAGAGTGACGAGAGAGGGAAAAAGGGGGAGCGGAGAAAGTGAAGAGTCTGTTAGATGACTTCCCAAACTTGAAAGTCGATGGACTGCTGCCTGATCCTGAACCCTCACGGGGAGGAGTGGTTATCCAGGAGACAACAGAATGGACGGTGGTGGTTTATCCGCGGGGCCAGGGTCCTTGGAGGAAGGTGGTTCGGACGGATGCCACGTTCAACAAACCACCACCAGAGGGAGATTGGGCACGACACCCTTGTTGCGGCACTCTATGCGCGGTGAGGAGTACCCCCCTCAGGAAGCCTACGGACAAGGAGCAATTTGGTCCGGCTCCCCGGTTTTGAGTAACAAATATTCTGTTAATCAATATGGCAGGTGGAGAAGCAGTTTAATGGTTGGGACTGTTCTGAACCCATAGAAGTTGTTGTTGACACTCTATTGTTAAGGGTTAATAAAGAAAATTTTGTTCCAAGAAACCAGCCCCTGTCTTTTCCTGCATATCTCAGCGAACCGCCAAAAGTGACTAATGAACCTTTTGACAATTTCTGAGGAAAGTTCATTGTTGGAAAGAAAATAGACTAATCCTTAGGAAGGTGCATTCACCTCAACATCTATATTGACTGAAAGGCCAAGGAAATGTGGACAAATGCCTTCTGGGTGTAGTGTGATGTGGGATCTCTGGCTTGTAGTTGTGCAGACTGAGATTGCTACATTGGAAGCAACTGAATGTGAGTTCCCCTTCTGCAACTTCTAGAAATGGAGTAAAAATAAAGATGGTCTATTTCTCATCTGTGTATCCTGTGTTCATCAAGTTTTTTCTGTCATATTCTGCATTAATCTGCATTTTAAAAAAAACTCCACAGAAATTTCCATTTGAATAGTGCATTTCTTCTCAAAATACACATATCTAAATTTCTTTTGATAATGTTTTTAAGCTTGGAAAATTGAAAAGTGTGAAAGCTGGTGGCTACGTATATTCCAGAACATGCTGCAGTTCAAGAGGCATGGATTAGGTCAGTTCATTCAAGAAATTACCATGATTAAACTCCTTAAACATCTGTATTTTATTTTTGAGTTTAATTGCTTTTCTGAGTAATGTCCTCACAAAGTAGCATTCAAACAAGTACATAATCAGATAATTGTGGGCAGCTATAGTAGCAAGCATAGAGAATACTTTGTGATACTGCTTTGAACACCAGAATTAATTATGAATTCAGCTGAAAGCTGCATGAAATGTGTTTATTTGTTTTGCTCTTCTTTTAAACAACTGCACTGAAGGCTGAGCTGCCTATTAATAGGAAGGAGTTTCATAGTGTTAATGAAATTGAAAGCACTGTTATGGTTGCTGTTTTGGATTAAATGACCCACAAGCAAGCAGCATGATAGCTATCTAAAGGGGAGGACCCCCACATAAAAGTGTGATCATGTGAATTCCTCTGGAAAGTCATATGGTGGTTCTGTGTGATGTTGTGCTCACACTCACTGCTTTCAAGAAGTGAGTGAAGACATCGTTTTATAATTTTTTAAAAACCATTCAAGTATGTCTGGCAATAATTTTAACTTTCTTGTTCATATACTATGCTACATTAATGGTTCTATGGTTAAATCTGTTTCCTATTCAATTTTTTTGTTCTGTTTGGAGGCTTCCTTGAGTGCTGTCCTTTCCAAATTTAGATCTCCACATGGTGAAAGTTAGGAAGGAGGGGAATTATCCTGTTTCCTCTAAACACACCCAGGATTCTGAAAGCCAATGAATATCTTGAATGTTTTACTTGTGGTTTCTGTATTTCATTCTGTGTTTCACTTTTTCCATATGTCTGAAGAAGAGGAATTGATCTACGAAAACTTGTGAAAATATAAATTAGACATGTAATCATTTACTACTTCTGCTAATGAATCCTAAAATCATATTTACCCTTTTTGCAGCCACATCACAGTTGGCTCATATTCAGCTTGTGATCTACAATTCCAATACCCTTGATTGACAGATTAGTTGATTGGTGGAAGCATGGATATTGGGGCGGGGCTAAAAGAAAGCCCCCATGTGCAGACAGGACTGTAGTAGTAGTTCCTCAGAGCAATATCCATGCACTTATCACTTTAAAGTAATGCCATTTCAGCTTTTAAAAAATTCTTCTCTACCTTCTGTGTGTGTGTGTGTGTGTGTGTGTGTGTGTGTGCGCGCGCGCGCGCGCGCGCGCTTGTGTCCGTATGTTTACACTTGATGTCTGGTTACCTGGGCGAGTTTTCTTCTTGCCACTTCCTCGTTCCCATATTAAACATTCAGCAGACCTTTTGTGTCAAGTATCCAAGAGAGAAGACCTGAGGAGGCCACATCCTGCATGAATAATTGAGACTGTGTAAATAGCCAAGCCCCTCGATGTCATACATATATGATCATGATCCGTTTGCCTTGGAACCCTCTTATCCCCACCTGGCCCTCCATTTCTTGTATGGCTGAGTCGTAACTGGCACTTCCTATATACGAAGCATGCCCAAATCGTATTACAATAGCTTCCTTCATCTTTATAATTTTTTTTCAAACCAGCAAGCTTTCCCGGCTTCAAAAGGAGCCATTGTTGGGAGTATTTTCACGTGCTTGTGTAATCCATTTCCTCTCCGAGGAGCTCGTTGAACAGGTTTCCAAAGGTGTTTTTTTTTTCCCCTCTCCCTCCTTCTTCCTAGTTTGTGGCTGGAGAAGAAGGATGGCTCTTCCTTCCCGGGTTTTTCCCCTCCCTTCCCCTCAGTCGCTTCAGCCACGAAGAAGGCCAGGCAACAATACCAGTTGAGACTTGCTCGGGTTAGTTCGAGACCACATCGACTCAGGGGGGGTTGGGGGTGGGAGAGAGTTTGAAAGGGAAAAAAAAAAGAACGAGAAGGAGGAAGAAGCGGCAGTCCTGTGCTCTAAGGTTGCCAAGCCGTGTCCTGTGACAGGAAGCAAGGCGAAAAAGCTGAAAAAAAAAACTTGGAGGGAGTCCTGGGCAAAGATTGCTAGGAGCGGGAGAAGACTCGGCAAAGCCAGGCAGTCTAGGGTGTTGTTTTTTTCTCCCTCCGCTTCCGATAGTGCTAATGACTGAAGTACAACTTGAGGGGGAAGAGCTAAAGCCTGTCAGAGTCACCAGCAAAAAGGAAAAAAGTGCCTTAACCCAGTAAGTATCTTTTGGTCCGCAGGAGCTCGGTCTTGACCTGTTTGTCAGAGCGACCACAGAGCGAAGAAAGTCAAGCGCCCTGTGAGAGGGGACAAAAGTTGGGCGGAAAAATTCTCCCGCGCTTTTCTCTCGGCTGTTTGTTGCGAGGGGGAGAATCGTGTTCTCGCTTCGTTCGACTTTTGCAAACTCCGGGGCGCTGTTCCGACGCTCATGTGAGGCAAGCGTGCCGTGTGAAGGGCTGAGATGGTCACGGGGAGACCTTTTTCGTTTGACAGTCCAGTCTGGCCATTGGCGTAGTTCGAAAGGTGGCAGACAAGGGTTAGAGAGACAGAGGTCTTGTTATCTTCTGTCAATATAATACAGTATAATAAACTAGGTTGTAATCTCCCTTGAAAGAGTCACATGAGTTAAGTGGTGTGATCTCTGTAATGATGACAGGGGTACTGGTTTCTAGTAGGATGATGTAAACCTTCCATTCTACAAAGTTTGGTTCAGTCTCATTCTCACATGTGTGTCCAGAAATTAGCAGCTGCTTTTTACAGTACTTGATCGTTTTTAGCTGAATGTGTGAAGTGGCTCCCTCAAAATCATTGTGTCAGAGCGGATACCAGGCAGTAGAAAAGCTGGCAAGAAACTTGATTTGTGGTTTCTGCTTTAAACTTGCAAATCCTTACCTGAGATTGTAACTCAATGATGACACCTATGCTCTCTTCCTTAATCTGTTGTCCTCATATGGCTATGTAGTCCAGAGATTGGGATCATATTGGATTGTATACCTCATTGTGAGGATTTGTTTCATTGTCAGTAATTCCCAACTGGTAAAGCTAGAACTGGTTTGGGTTAGGTTATTATGTTGTGGTCTGCCCTAGTTAGTAGGGCTGTAAATTCTCGCCTGTCTTGTTCTTAAGTGCGAGAATAAGAAAATGCACACGTTTCCTACCCTTGTGTAATGGGAAGATATTTTCTGTCACTAGCTACCGAAGTTCTCACACTTCTGAAAATGATTTTTCTGTAATTTGAGCAATTGCACAAAATCAGGACAGCTGCTGCCTCACTGCACTGCACAGACTTTTAAAAATCAGAGGCATTTAATGGGCTCTTTGCATCTCTTTGATGAATCAGAAAGATAATAGGACTGCTGTTTGTGACAGCTTTGCTTCACAAAGGGAAGATAAATGCCCCAAATCTAATTATTAGTACCAACTAGGATAAACCCAATGAAGCAATGGGATTTAACATAAATGTTGATTTGACAAAGTCCCATTGATTCAATGAATATACTTTTATTGGACTAACAACTGGGTTTATGCTAATAGTTCTGCACAGAAATATGCTGTGCTAATTGCAGAAGTATTAACAAAGCCCCACTCTTTGTCCCTTTTTCACATTAGAGATGAAAAAGCTTGTTTGGGTCACTTATATCTCAGCAGGCTGTCTCACTGCCTCAAGACAACCTGCCTTATTACAAATTAGTAATTTGGGAAGAATTCTTCGCATCTTTCTTGGATAGTATAGATATAAAATATGCTATACTGTATATGGTGTCTCATTCTGACCGATGTAGGTGTGACCTGTGTCAGAATGATGTTGTTACCGGTTCCCAGTTCAGCAGGATTTATGGTGGAGTATGGTGTCTCATTCTGACCTATGTAGGTGTGACCTGTGTTAGAATGATGTTGTTACCAGTTCCCAGTTCAGCAGGATTTATGGTGGAGACGAAATCTTGTTCTGTCCATAGAACATGAAGTGTAATTATATAGATCGGGATACAGACTTAATTTATGAGATGACAAGAGATTCATGCCTGCTGGGAATACACATGCTCAGTTTTAGTAGTTCCTTCCTCTAGTGACATGTCTTAGATTGTATTCAATGATGAGAGGCACTTGATCATTTTACTTTTTCCTGCCTAGCTGCATCATTTAATATCATTTCTACTTGTCTGCTAAATTTATGCCTGGCCACAGACATGGTATCTGCTACAAAACATCTTGCTACAGAAAGAGTGAGGACCTTTTAGCCTTCCATTAATTTTGGACTTCAGTTCCCAGAAGCCTCAGCCAGCATGACTAATGGTTAATGATTATGGGAGTGACAGCCCAAGATCTGAAGGGTACTCGAAATTGTACACTTCTAATTCATTTGCTAATTATCTCAAAAGACAGTCCCTTTGCTGGGCATTTCTCAAATATGAATATAGTATTCAGGGTACAGTTCAAGGGATTAGCAGAAGGCTGCCTGCAGAAAGCAATGCTCCTGGAATTTTTCTTGTGATGTTTGGGAGGGGATGAACAGCTTCCTACAGCATTGCAAGTATAGTCTCCATCATCTCTTCAGAAAGGAAGAGAACAAAAGGTTTTATTTGCACTTGTCCTGGAAATTTGGCATTTTTACCTTCAGTTGTTATATGTTTGTAATGAGCTTGACTAGAAGTGGAATTTCTCTGTTACTTTCCCTCCATAATAATAACAATAACAATAATGTGTTGTTAGGTCAGTTCTGATCTATGGTGACCCTTCCAAACTTTTCTAGATGTAGTTTTATTGGTCTCTCCTTCTAGTGATGTTCTAGGATCGTGCAGCTTTCCTGAGGCACAGATAGCAAGATATGTACAGCATTAACCATACACACTTTGGCTGGTTTTGGCTGACCTTTTTCCTAGGAGGCACAATGGGGATTCAAACTCCCAGCCCCTGGCTCCCCAAGTAATCCAACTCTCCCTATATCTATAGGAGATCGAAATACTATATACTGTACAGGTAATTCAGATTTGTAACACTCATTTTGTATCCTGTTCCAGAGATTCTTTAAATTAAACAAAAAATGATGAAATGATAAATATCGCATTGGGCAAAGCTTGGGGCAACAAATTAACATGTTTAGTACTTAGCTCCAGTGTATTAAGAATCAAACAATTATTTTATAATAAACATTTTTCATCCCCTTTTTATCTTCCTTGCATCTACGTGTGTCAAACAGAATTGTTTATAAGTGATGGTGGCTCAGAATGTAGAAATACAAACATAGAGTCTCTATGTGAATTCGGACAGAAAATAGCTAGATTCAAAGAGCTATATGGCTCAACACTTGTTCTAACAAAATTGCCCACCCTTAATTTCCTCTTCCAGCACTCAAATTAAGGCAGAAACAGCAAGTGGTTGATGAAATCCAAAAACATCAGCCCTGATTTCTTCCAATTTTAACCAAACTATGCTGAAGAGATGGAGGCATGCCTCTCAGTGAAGGCTGGGAAAAGATTATCTTTTTTAAAAAACCAACAGGACAAAACAAAATATAGGACGCTTAGTCTCTCCATTTCCATGAAAATATTCTGTTTAAACCAGTGGCATCTATTTTTTCTAAATAAGAGCATGGAACCAGAACCTGTTTGTAAGGAGAGTGGCCACATATGTTTATTTCTGTTCTGGAGTTCTGTTCAATTTCCAGTCTTTGAATCAACTCAAGAATGTACATGGGCTTTGGCATTGTCAGAAGAGCCAGAATATTCATAGCATACTACTGTGTCTTTTAGCTGCTTTTCCTCTAGCTTTGGTCATATTTGCCCTATCTCGATAAAATCAGTCATATAAAAAAACTCCACTTGTCTGCAAATGGCTCTAAAAGTATGAATTACAGTAACATATTTTGCTTAGGCAGCTTAAAAATGCAAAACACTGTCATCTGAAGACCAATTTCTCTCTGAAGAACTTGTAACTTCTTGTAGCTTGTCCTGGTGCTGTTGTGTAACTTAAGGTCAATCAAGTTAATTTATCACCTCTGTTTCCAGTCCAGCTTCTGGTAGAAAGGCACCATGTTTTAAACTCTAAATACAACAAATCATGCCTTTTGCTCTGGAGATCACCAGTTTAATTTTAGGTGTCATGTAAAATGGCAGGGGCTCACGTTACTTCTCTTACATTTTTCCTGGCAGGTTGCACAGAGAATTATACCCACAACTACGCTTCTATGTCACCTTGGAGCAAAACACCCCCAGTTTTGAGCATGCTTTTATTGATTTGTATGTCTTTTATCAGCAGGCAATCGTTTCTACACTGACTACTCTAGTCACCTTTGAAAAAAATGAACTGAGAAAACTTTATGCAATGTCTGATGAGTATATATGCAAGAGAAATGCAAAACATTACAGCTGTAATTCGGTACCCACTTACTTGGGAATATGTCCCCCTGAACTCAACAAGGGTTAGTTCTGATTTGAAATCTATAGAGGTAAACTGTATATTGTCAATTTAACTGGCTGACTAGTTTTGCAGTCGTAATATTTGCACATTTATGCAATGAAAAAAAGACACAGAGAAATTCTTTTTTTTTTCATTTTCATATTCTTTCATTGATTCGTGAAGGAGAACCTCTAGAACAGGAATGATTCCGAGTAAGAAAATAATGGTTATGTTCCTTTTGTGTTCCTTCTTTTATTTAACCTTTCTTTTACCCTTCGTATGTCAGCAAACATAAATCCAAGGAGAGCAGTAATTTTGTATCTGTAGAAGGGCCTGGAATCAAGTAAAGAGTGTTCTTTTTAGCTTAGTCATTCCTTTTATGAGCGGGATCACTGCCTGATAAGCTCCTGATGCTCTCCAACCTGGTTGTTTTTGCTGCATGAAGGCTTGTTCCTCTATATTGAACCCTTTTCTTTTTTCAGATATGGATTAAATGGTTTTCAATGCATTCCTATGGGAAATGCAGATTCAACATAAGAACTTCTCAACTTGAGAACCACCTTCCAATATGGATTAAGTTCTTAAGTAGAGACCCCACTGTAGAAGGGCCTGGAATCAAGTAAAGAGTGTTCTTTTTAGCTTAGTCATTCCTTTTATGAGCGGGATCACTGCCTGATAAGCTCCTGATGCTCTCCAACCTGGTTGTTTTTGCTGCATGAAGGCTTGTTCCTCTATATTGAACCCTTTTCTTTTCTTTTCTTTTCTTTTTTTTTTTTTGGCCTTTGTTTCTTGATTTTTATTTTGGCAGAGACTTTTTCTCTT